GACACCTTCCGCAGCTGCAGACTTAGCAACTTTTTAAGAAACAAAATCATACCTTGTCAGACCTTTCTGTTCTTGGAGAGGCAAAACTGGTGGCCCATTCTTCTAAAGCAGAATTTTGCCACAGCTTAGAGCTTTCAGCACAAAGAGCCAAGCACACAAGCTGAAACATGAGTTGCATGTTACTTCTCGTTCTCTTGAGTGTAGGCCAGTAGGTCTTTTTGCTTGACAGACATACCAAAAGTTCCTCCTTTTGTGCCTAGACAAGCCAGAGCAGCTCCAAAATAACTCAGTCTGTCCATTTAACATTGTCTTCTGGCTGTTAATTTTCACAGGGAGGGACACTTCTTGGCCCCCCAGACTCAGTTGTTGACCTGGGGAACACTGAAGTCACAGAAGAAATTTTTCTGGAGTATCTGTCCTCTTTGGGGGAATCCATGTTTCGGTAAGTAGCAGTTTGTACTAGAAAAGCTGTGTAACAAAAAAAGCCTTTAGGGGAAGGGGTGAAGAATGGAGAAAGGTATTACAAAACCAATCCTGCTTACAAAGCTTTGTCTCCTTAGAGTAGCATTTGTAGTCTCCAAATATGGGTCTGGAACTGACACACTGATACACAAGGAGCTACCAGCAAGGCAACCCTCTGGTGTGCCAGCCTTGAGGTAGGCTGGGAGAGTGTACTGCCAGGAAGTCTTTCACACTGTTTGTTGGTTTGGATTTTTTTTTTTTTTTTCCCATAAAATATACTACTGCCTGAAATGCTTTTGAGAGAATCACCAGGGAAAATTTATATATATGAAGTATTTCAGTAAATAGTGCTTTGCCACGTGAGTCATATGTTAAGCATAGTAGTAAAGCTGCCAACTTTCAGATAAATAAAAGCAAGGTCTTGACTATTAAAGAGTCTAGTCTACTTCTCACAAAAATGGGAAAAAGTAGCATTTAGTGTTCTGGCTATATTTCAATGTCAGTAATTCCAGTGATTTCTCATTATTCTTTCTGTGGTTTTAATTGAAGGAACCTGACCTCACCCTCCAAAAATATTGTGTAAAGTCACTGATGCAGAGAGATGTCATTTTCCACCCTGATTCAATTGAATTTGAGGGTGAATTGATGTCTTTATTTTATCTATTTGCGTTAGAATCCTTTTGGGGGAAAAAGTGCTAACATAAGGAGACGTTCCTCATTAGGGGTCTGAGTTTTTCTGCTTGTTAGATGTATTGCTGAGTCTGTCTTTTTATACTTCAATTCCTTTCCTGTGGCACAGAGGAGAGTCTTACAACCTCTTTGAACATAACTGCAACACCTTCAGTAATGAAGTGGCACAGTTCCTGACAGGAAGAAAAATTCCTTCCTACATCACTGACCTTCCAGCTGAAGTTCTTGCCACGTAAGTATGCATACTGCTCCCCTCTGCAGTGTGTAGCTTCATGCTAGTGCTTCAACATTTGACAGAGCCAGAGGTACCAGTTTGTGCTGGCACTGAGAATCAGCATTAAGATTAGGGAGAGGATGCTGTTTGCTTTACTTCAACACTTACAACACCATATGACAAGTGGTGACTAGCGCTGGAATCACTAAGAAGACAGGAGAAGGTTGTTGTTCTGCCTCCAACTTAAACTAGTTATTTTGTGATGGTTTTTTTGTATGTGACCAGACAAGCATAGAGAGTTCCAGAAAATGGTGCAAGTTTTTTTTTTGTCTTAGGAAACCAGTAACTATTAAAGGTCACATCTGTTACTCAAAGCACTGTAATTGCATTGGAGGTGTCAGCTTTGCTTGTGAAGAGGCAGAGGAAAATGTAATTCTTAAATTAACCTTGCAGTTTTAAGCTAGGACTGGATGGAAAAGGCAGACAGGAAAAAGAGGAAATTAAGAATTCCTGTCTGGTAGTTCAGCTCAACCTTTTTTCCTTTTTTTTTTTTTTTTTTTTTTTTAAATCTCAGCTAGTTAGGATCCCACTTGGCTGTTTTGAGCTCAATCATTTAGGTCTTATTTCTCATTACAAGGGTATATCACATTATTTGGGAGACACGTCTTCTACCCTGGGCTCTTACTGCTTCAGATCTGTCAAAATCAGATCAAGTCTGTAACAGAGTGAGTCATACTGAAAGATAAACCAGGTGCTACAGCTTGCAACAGAAATTATTCTTTGAATGTTGAACCATTGTCTTGTGAGGAAGCTAGAGGCTGTTCTTCTAGCAGTCTTTGATATTGATGAGGTACTTAAGGGAGCACTGCAGTTGCATAACAGTGATTTTGTTCACACACTTAAGTAGAATGAATTGCTAAAAGCCAGTTTCAGACACAGTATCACCTCATTAGCAGTCTGGGCATGTTAGGACTCAGAACGAGCTTATATAAAATCATGTTTAACATTCTGAGTTATTGAGCAGTAAACACTATTTAATGGGTTAAATTAGTTTGCTTTAGTTTGTAGTGGAAGATTGTTCTTGAAATTAACTTCTACGATGTTGGTTTGCTCTCTAGGAAGTGAGTGCACTTCGGTAGTAATGGCAAAAGTTGTCCATAAAGTGAGTTATTTGACATGTTTGTTTCTTTACCTTCTCAGACCGTTTGGACAAGCTTTAAGGCCCCTCCTGGACTCCATCCAGATCCAGCCACCAGGAGGAAACACCTTCAGCAGACATAATGGACAGAGCTAACAGGAGTGACCCAGTGTGCCCAGCCTCACCAGGCCTCTTCCTTTTTAAACATGAATCTACCAGATTTCTATTTTATAATTTCCCATCAGAATTAACTCTACAGAAGTTACAAGACAAATTTTAAAATTTCCTGGGAAGAGGATTTATCAGGGTGCATGTAAGACAATGCTACCAAAAGGATTGCCATAATTTCTAATAGTATTGTACTAATTTATAAAGGCTGTCTTGTATAAGTAGGCTGACACTTTCTGAGTAACTCTCATGCTGGTAAGTGGGGATTCATTCCATGAGCATTCAAGAGCCCATTACACAATTTGGAATAAATAAGGGGATGTCCAAGGCATCCCTGACAGGCTTCTGTCTCTTTCTCCTATCACAGCCTATATTATGGGGGTATATGCTGAAATCTGTAGCCAAAAGACAAAAGAAGTGCTGGTAACCTAGGAAGTGAAGGTGTCCCAGGATTAGTCTTCTGCATATTTTGTTGACATTATGTTATTTGCTCAGGGGAAAAGCTGAATTAATCTAGTCAGAATATTTGCAGTGGCACAGCTGTGTGGGAAAAGTGATCAAGCTGAACTGTGTGTCAGTGTCACGCCCAAAAGTTGAAACTTTCAATGTGACTAGCTGTGTGTGGGAGGGGGGCTGGAACTGGTGGTTAACAAGAGCCTCCTAATGCTAGAGCCAAGAGTTACGGGAAAGAAATGGCTGAAATAATAGAATCTCATGACCAGAAGTGGTGGAAACAAATTTCAGGTGAAAGTAAAATGAAGTTGTATGTCTTCTTTTCTTGCATGTAAGCTAATCAGCAGATAGACAAACCTTGTTAACTATGTACCTTTTACATAAGAACTGTTTTTTCTTACCAAGCCAGAGTTACAGTACAGTAAGGCAGGAATAGCTTGACAACTGCACAACAATGTAAGGTGGACCAATTCCACCTCCAATATCTAGTTGCAGACACAGTAGGAGTTCCAGCTTGCTTGGATGCTGCTGTCCTTTCCAAAGCAGTCAAGCACATCACAGGGCTCTTGCTTCAGTGTAAGACAAATAGATGGTAGGTCTCCCCAGATGGAAAGAAAATGAGGAAATTAAGTTTTTCAGTGGAACAATTGAGATTATTGGGATACCTGCAGAAGCAGTCCTGTCCTTAGACTGACATTAGATCATATCAATACTGCATCTTCTAGTTTTAAGATTCGTACAGCTTTGCAGTCATTTGCGGTTCAAAAAGATTGGGGGAATGAAAGAATAGGCACACTGGTTTCTTTTCATGCATGTATATACACTATTTTCCTGAATTTTGTAGCAGTTACATTTAGGAAGGAACACAAGGCAGACATTGGACAAACTCCAAAACATTGCTGATGCTCCATAAATACGGATTGCACATCCCAGATGCTGCTGGAAAAGCATCTATTAGCCCTTTGTCCAATATTTTGTTGTGAAAAGTGTTGCTGCAAGTTCAGTCCTGCATCTCAGACCTCCTGCACTGGAAACTACCTGCATACCTAAAGAAGCTGTCTTTTCTCTGATGGGCCCTTTCTTCCAGATGAATGCAATTTGATACATTTATCACACTTTTTCTCAGTGAGAACTATAGTGGCGCATATTTTTGAGGGGGTGGAACAGAGGAGAAGTGCAACAAATACCGTTGCCCTGCACTGTGTGGGGTCACTACACAAGTGGAAACAGAATAATGTCAGTCCATTTTGCAGTTTTGTGTGTACCTGTTCTTGGTGCACAGCAGTGGCCCTTGCAGCCTAGATTTTTTTTTTTCCCTTGTCATTCTCTGCTTGTGCCATCAACTTCTCCTTAAGTGTTTCATTTGAGGGACTGGACCTGGAGACAACTGTAGCTGTTAGTACAGATGGGCTTATGCAAAAGCTTTCAATTTTTCCCCATCAAAGTGTCCTGTTTGCAGAAAGCGTGCTATAATAAATCATTTATTAATGCCCTTTGGTGCTCCTGGATGGATGGATTGGTGTTTGTTTCCTGCTAAAGCCATAGCTTAGTTTTCCTTTTCAGTATGTGTACCCTTTTAAGCCTTTTCCCCATGCCTATTCTGTCAAGAGTTACCAGTCTCTCGTCTTAATACACACATGACTGTGCCACAAAATGCTATAGCATGTTAGAGATTTTGAAGCTTCCTCACTTGAACAGGTATACTTGAGTGGATGCAGTGCAGCCCATCTAGGTATGCTAGTTTGGCACCTGCAAGCAGTATAGCTGTGCTTGCTTGTCTTTCAGCAAACTATCCTTTCAGGCACAGCTGCCTGTGGTGGAAGCACTGGTGCCACAGTTTCTGTACCACACTCTTGCAATGAGGATATCCCCTGTATGTCCACTTTAGAGGACCTGAGCCTGGTTTCTGCTTGGCTGCCTACTTCAGAGCTTCTTACATCTTTTCAGGAGGCAGGTAAGAAGAGGAAGGTCTTCATGTGTTTTGCACTCTTGTCTTTTCCCCTCCTGAGCAGCCTCTTTGCAGAGATAATGCTGCTACTTTAAGGTCACTGGGTAAAATTTAACTCAGCACATGCTGTTTGCAGTAGCCAAGGGTCTTCTGAGGGTTTTCCAGGCTCAAGACCTACTCTGTGTTTTGTGGCAAAAGAACTGTAGGAGGGACTCCTGTTTACTTGGTCTTACAGGGTAAGGAGACCCCTGTACCCTGTATAGGCCTCCTAGGAAACCCATTTCCTCCAGAGATGGTTAGATGCAAATTGCAGGACTGTGCCCCAAGCATTCCACCGAGCCATACCTACTCATAGGAATATAGACTAGGCAGAGAGGTGTATGTAAGTGTATATAGGTGATGAACTGCAGCCAACTGATTGACAAAGGGGCAGGGAAACTGACTCCTGAAAGGGAACAGAACCATTTTGCCCACACTTCCTATTCTGTCCTGTATTTCTGGGGTTCCCCTGTGCCATATAAAAAATGTTAATAATGTCTTTAGGCAGAAAGTGATGTTTTGATTTATTTGTGGGTTTGTTGTTTTTTTTTTTCTATTACAATAAAAAGAAATACAGCAAGTTTTCCTGTTTGAATGTATATGTCTGCACAGCTGCTTGGCAAATGCAGCTCACCTGAAATCATCTCCTTTGCTCTGGTCCCAGAATGTGCCAGGTACTGCTGCTGGAAGTAATGGTGATTGCTGCCACCAGGGTTTGTGCAGCCCTTGCTCATCTAAGTGTACAAGCATGAAATGTCAAATGTAGTCAGCTGAAGAAGAGGCCAAACAGAGCTTAAGGATAGGAAGAGGCTTTAAGCTTTTGCGTAGTGTCTTATCATAGAATCACAGAACTATTCAGGTTGGAAAAGACCCTTGGGATCACCGAGACCAACCATCATCCCTACTCTACAGAGTTCTCCCCTAAAACATATCCACCAACCCCACATCCAAAATACATTTGGGGATGGTGACTTAACCCCCGCCCTGGGCAGCCTATTCCAGTGTCTGACCACTCTTTCTTTGAAGATTTTTTTAAAATGTCCAGTCTAAACCTCCCCTGTTGCAGCTTGAAGCCATTCCCTCTTGTTCTATCAGTAATTACCTGTGAGAAGAGACCAGCCCCAACCTCTCTACAATGACCTTTCAGGTACTTGTAGAGACTGATGAGGTCTCCCCTCAGCCTCCTCTTCCTCAAACTAAACATGCGCAGCTCCTTCAAGCTTTCTTCACAAGATTTATTCTCCAGGCCCTTCACCACCTTCGTTGCCCTCCTCTGTACTCACTCCAGCACCTCAATATCTCTCTTGAGTTGAGGTGCCCAAAACTGGATGCAGTACTCCAGGTGTGGCCTCACCAGTGCTGAGTACAGGGGGACAATCACCTCCCTCTTTCTGCTGGTCACACTGTTTCTAATACAAGCCAGGATGCCAATGGCTTTCTTGGCCACCTGGGCACACTGCTGGCTCATATCCGGCCACTTGTCAATTAGAACCCCCAGGTCCTTTCCTGCCAGACACTTTCCAGCCACACTTCCCCAAGCCTGTAGCGTTCCCTGGGGTTGTTGTGGCCCAAGTGCAGGACCTGGCACTTGGCTTTGTTGAAGCCCAGACCATTAACATTAGCCCAACGATCTAATCTGTCCAAGTCTCTCTGCAGAGCCTCCCTGTCCTCATGCAGATAAGCACTCCTGCCTAGCTTGATGTCATCTGCAAACTTACTGATGATACACTCTATGTCCTTATCAAGATCATCACTAAAGATGTTAAACAGAAACAGTCCCAACACTGAGCCTGAGGAACACACCTGTGACTGGCCACCAGCTGGGTTTGACTCCATTGACCACCACTCTCTGGGCCCGACCATCCAGCCAGTGCTTGATCCAACAGATCATCTTGATCTACTTTCAAAAGGAAAAAAACACAAACATCTTTATGGTTCCTGGGTTCCTCCAGAGCCACAGCAGGGATATTGGCAAGGATTGTGTAGTGCTGCCCATCATGACTCTGCCAGTGGGCTGTTAGGGAGCAGGGGAAACACCTGTCTCTGGGGAATAAATTAATTCTGCTCAGTTCAGCCTTCTGAATGCTTATCAGTGTCATCCAAACCACACAGTTTGCTGTTTGTGTAACAGTCTGTATCAGTGTAACACAGAAGAGGCCTTGTAACAGAAGGGGATTTCAACAAAGACTCGTGATTGTGGTAATTTTGGGCTGTGTTATTCAGATGGGGTGCTAGTTTGCTATCAGGTACCAGTAGTAACCCGATATAAAATATGTGGGAACATGTACAAAAGGAAAACCTTTTCCTTAATGGCAGCTCTAGACAGCACATTGTAATCCAACACTCACAGCCATTTACCTTCTAAAATTCAAATGAAATGCTTGCTGCTGGTAACAGAGATTTCCTTCATAATGACAGCTGCTGCTTATCAGAGTGGCAATCAAGGGAAAGCATTAGGAGTGGTTAAAGTGTGCAGTATTAAATAACTGGCAGAGCTGCAGCAGCCCCGTTCTCAGAGCTAACTCAGATGGAGGAACAAGCACAGCTCTACAGGGCCACAAGCTTCACCCAGAGGCAGATTCCTGCTCTCAGGGAAGCTAAAATGGCACAAGACCTCACCAACTGATGCCAAATGGCAGCCGGTGGGCTGGGAGCCGTCTGTTGGCTCAATTTGGTTTGTAAAGCAGCGTGACAAATAAACTGGAGAAAGCACAGCAGGTAGCTGGAAGTTTTGGAATGTTCTCCTGGTAGCATAAACCCCGGTATAGGAGTGCAAAGTGTGAACGCCGAGCTGACTTTTAGCAGAATTCCCAGTTCTGGGAAATGCCCCGAGGTGGCACTGCTGCCTTACAGTGCAGCACCTGAGCCCGGGGAGAGCAGCTCCTGCTTTTGGGATGTCCAGAGTAATGTCAATACAAGAAGGGAGGGGGAAGGTCTCTCTCAGCCAAGAGAGCTCCGGGTGGGAGCAGCCAGGAGGGAAGACCGTAGGGCAAGTTGGGCTACATCAAGAACCCAATGCTGCCACAACGCCAGGGCCGCAGCAGGAGGGAGCTGGCAGGTTTTTCCCAACGCCAATCCTTTTCCATCCAGTGGGAACTCTCATCCTCATACCATGTCGTGGCTTAATGAAAAATAAAGGTTTTCATTCCTGAACCCCCGGGAGATCAGCGTATCCGAGCCCACGGCTGGTCTTTTGAGAGTCCTCGGAGCTTCTCAGCTCTGCGGGCCGGGAGAGCAGCTCCTGGGCTTCTGGTGACCGACCCACCCGCATCCACGGAAGCCCCTCTCCCCGCTCCGCAGCATCACAGACGTGTCCGAATGAAGCATCCCCCGCACCGACCTACCGACGAGGAGCCAGACAGGCCGGAGCTCT